GAGGCATGCATCTTAGTGGATACCACCCAATTCATAATTACAAATATACTAATGAGTATGAAAATATTTAGTTTTGTCCACTTTCATTTAAGATAATAAAATCTACTTAATTTCATTGAATATTAAGGCTCTTAAAGTACATTATTACATAAAATTCAGTGAAATATACTCTCCATCAACTAAATTAAATATCATTAAATGTAATTCTACCAAACTCCACTCACTAACTATGCTAGATTGTACCAAACTTTTGATGTAAATCAAAGGGAGTTATTACAACACTTGTTTTTTTAAATATAAGTTGTTAAATGTTGACTCTCTTCTATATTTGAGATTAGAGAAAAGATATGATGATACCGATTTTTAACACCCCACACCTTAATGGTATGTATTTAGGGTACAAATTTTATTTCTTTAATAATGTATATTGCTTTGATTTTTGTAAAAAATATTTTATTTTATAATAGTAGAGTATGATCTAACACAACTATTTGATGAGGTGAGAGGTGTCACTTTATATAAACTATTTCAATATTCTATCTTCAACCAATGTGGGACTTTAGGATCTTCCTAATATTAGATAAGAAATTGTAGGGTAGTATAAATCAAAGGAACCTTAACATTAATTTATGAAAGAATTTGTTTTTGTCAGAAGAAGACACGTAGTTGTCATCATTGAACACCATTCTCGAAGACGATTCCTTTTCAACTCCACAGAAAAATCATTCATTTCCTTTTAAAGAAGTGCGTGCAAATTCAAATCTTCACAATTTTCCTTTCATCTCCTTAAACCAACTGTCGCGGAAATTCCTTCTTCTCAACCACTCTCATGCACTCATCTGCCTCAAAACTATACGAATAACAACAAACAAACAATTACGATTGCACTTCATTCTCTGTATGTGGCTTTGTGTTTATGGAAAAGTCAACGATATGTTTGGTTAGTACCATTGTGATTCTTTGTTGTTTCTCTTGCATAAACTACGTCATATCTGATGCATCAGATCATCGTTACAAAGAAGGTGATTCTGTGCCCTTTTATGCCAACAAAGCGGGGCCCTTTCATAATCCCAGGTTAGATTTTCTTTACTTTCACTTTTTCATATACCCTTTTAAATTATATTTCGATCCCAATGCTCCTCCAATTATAATTTAGATAAAAATTAAAATTTTGGGTTGTGTCATTCTACCATTCAAGGTGGATGAAGAGGAGATGAGCTGTGTCTAAGTGATTGTTTGTATTTATACTAGAATGATTTTGGCAAAAATTACATTTTCTAAATCCAACACAATTACAACTTCATAGATATGTCGCGGGTTAGAACCAGCATCTATGTAGTCTCTGATGTCCCTGAACAGCTGCCAACTGAGTTGGCTTAACGAGATGGCATTTTAAGTCCTTTTAATTAAGACTTATCTTGAAAATCAAGCATTGCTTGTATAAAAGTGTTTCATGAGCTTTGCATTAAATAGTGTAATGTGTGTATTAATTTTTAATGCACTATCATGAATTTCTTCTTAATTGGTTAATACATTGTGTTTTCCTTGAATTTTTTGATGCCGCAGCGAGACGTACAGATATTTTGATCTTCCATTTTGCTCACCAGGTTTGTTTGATGGTATTTATTATTTTCACTTCTCACCCGATGTTTTTTATTGTTGTCTTTGTATTAGTTAACTAACTACCCTTTATAAATTTGAAAATTTGTTGGCTGCAGCTAATGTGGAAGAAAAGAAAGAAGATCTTGGTGAAGTTTTGAATGGGGATAGATTAGTTGTTGCTCCTTACAAACTTGATTTCTTGGTTAATAAGAAACCTGAGAGCATCTGCAAAAAGATACTAACGAGAAAAGAGGTTGATCAATTCAGACGTGCTGTTTTGAAGGACTACTTTTATCAAATGTACTATGATGATTTGCCGATTTGGGGTTTCCTTGGAAGATTTGAAACTAAAGAAAAAGAGGATGATGATGATGATGACTCGAATGAGGCAACAATTTATCTTTTTAGGCATGTTCATTTTGAGATTCTATACAATAACGGTCGTATCATCGATGTTTTTGTTAGAAATGATCCGAATGCTGTTGTGGACTTGACAGAAGATAGAGAGGTAAATGTCGATTTCACGTATTCTGTCAAATGGACTGAAACAGATATTCCATTCGAGAAAAGGTTGGAGAAATATTCGCAGACATCTTCGCTCTCACATCACTTGGAAGTTCATTGGTTTTCGATTATCAACTCTTGTGTTACTGTTCTTCTCTTGACCGGATTCCTTGCCATGATTCTCATGCGTGTACTTAAGAATGATTTTGTCAAGTAAGAATCTTCTTATTTCTTGATCACACCGGCATTGTTCTAAATTGCAGTTAGGCTGCATACTTTGACATTGCAGCAAAATGCAAGCAAATGTGCTCGATGTGCCATGCAGTGACCTCCGCAATCGCAATTTAGAACAATTATTTTCATGGATTAAGAATTTTTAGTTTGGCGAACTTATTTCATCTACATGTGCAAATATTATGATAGGTTTACTCCTGATGAAGAGGCACTTGATGATCAAGAGGAGAGTGGATGGAAGTATATCCATGGTGATGTGTTTAGATATCCAAGATTCAAGGCTTTGTTTGCAGCAGCAGTTGGAATAGGCTCTCAGTTATTTACACTGTGAGTGAGTTGTTACCTTCTAAAAGCACTGATCATTTAAAGGTGTTTGTTTACTCATTTTTCATGTCTCTTTTTGTGACTATATTACTCCGCTTCCATTTTCAGTGTAATCTTCATCTTTATGCTTGCTCTAGTTGGTGTTTTCTATCCATACAACCGAGGAGCTTTGTTTACTGCACTGGTTGTCATATATGCACTAACGTCCGGTATTGCCGGTTATTCTGCAGCTTCCTTCTATTACAAGATTGAAGGAAAAAATTGGGTAAAGTACTCGCCTTTTATTACTTATCTAGATTCCCCGGACCTAGGTTCACAACAATCAATAACTCACGCACGCATTCACTGGAGTCAATTGATCTAAGTCATTGGATAAAGATCATATGACTCATACCGTGACTGCGGTGAATTGAGAACTCAAAATCTCAATTGTCTGATCTTCATCAATAGTCGAGATCATTGAGTGCAGTGACTGCTGACTGCATCAAATGCATTTCCTTTCTATTCAAAGTTGATTTTACTTTTAAACGATTGAAAGTGTGCAACATAAGAAAACAAACCTAAGTGGATTACACTTCTAAAGTACTGGTATGTTGCATTTCAGGTGAAAATTTTGGTGTTAACCGGAAGTCTTTTCTCTGGACCGTTGTTTTTGACTTTCAGCTTTCTTAACACTGTTGCTGTTACCTATAACTCCACTGCAGCATTACCCGTTGGAACGATTATGGTTATTTTCCTCATATGGACTCTTGTAACCACACCTTTATTGGTATTGGGAGGGATTGCTGGTAAGAATAGCCAATCAGAGTTTCTAGCGCCCTGTCCAACCAACAAGTATCCTAGGGAGATTCCTCAACTTACTTGGTACCGTACAACTCTCGCTCAGATGGCTATGGCTGGTTTTTTGCCATTCAGTGCAATTTACATTGAACTCTACTACATATTTTCGAGTGTTTGGGGTCATCAGATTTATACCATATACAGCATTTTGTTCATTGTTTTCATCATTCTATTGATTGTCACTGCTTTTGTTAATGTGGCTTTGACATACTTTCAACTTGCTGCTGAGGATCATGAATGGTGGTGGAGGTATGTAAATGATGTAACCTTCAGTACTCTCTCTATACTAGACGGATATCGATCCTCTTCTACCTTAGTCATTAGAGGTTGGTCGTCTTATTCATCTAACGGTTGAGAGTATTGACCTCATTGTTGTTAGATGAATCCAGTGGCCAACCTCTAAGAAGTAGAGGCATAAGAGGATCCGGACTCTCAATGAATCGATATAATAGAATAAAAAAAGAAAAAAAGAAAATTACTGTCAAAACCATAGATGTGCATTCTTAGGCTACACATTGATGTAAATCATGTCACTACATTTTCTAACTTGGGTCATTTTTTTCATGATATTAGGTCTTTCCTTTGTGGTGGATCAACTGGCTTGTTCATATATTCGTACTGCGTGTTTTTCTACCATGCAAGATCAGATATGTATGGTTTCATGCAAACCTCTTTCTTTTTCGGCTACATGGCTTGCATTTGCTATGGTTTCTTTCTCATGCTTGGCACTGTCGGTTTCCGAGCTTCTTTAATCTTTGTTAGACACATATACCGTTCCATCAAGTGCGAATAGTGTAGAAGAAGCTTACTGAAAAAAGTCAGACCCTTTATTTTACTATGTGCAGTGCAATACAGCAACTTAACATCTTGTTGCAAATGGTTTACTAAAGAATAGTAGGGGAATGCAATTGCATACCAAATTTATATAGTCTGATAGAAAATGTATATCATGATAGTGAACTCACAGTTTTTCTTTTTGAAATGATAGAAGTGCTTTTAACATTACATATCACATAGCTACGATTTCGCCATTGTAGTTTTTGCTTCTCCATTGATGAAAAAGTTATTTCAGAAGTCTATTATTTAATTATAGTGTTCATGTATTGTTTTAAAAAAGAATTGAGCGAAAAAAAAGTTGAGCCAAATGGAGGAGAAAGTGGGATGCAAGTTCGCCAAAATGAAGCTTGCTTATCAAATTTCTAAGGATCAACTTAAGATTGATAAAGTCTGTAATAAGTTGGTTTCGTTTGAACAATAGAAGCATGGTACAACAGGTCTCCATAGAATGATCATTAAGTCTAAAATTGCAATTACAAAGCACGAAATCCAATGTAACATAATTAAATTTTAGTATACATTATCTATATATGCTAATATAGATAGCATTCATCAACCTATAACTTATGTCAACAAAGTGATCATAAAAGGCGATGAAAAGTCAATATCCAACATGATTTTTTCAATGAAAATCAGATACAAGCATTCTGTGATATCTGTCAATACTTCCAAGAAGAGCCACCAAGTCTAATAACCTCTTCACCACCATTATTCCTTCTAGGAATTCTTTCCAGGTTGGCATCTCCTTTACTATCACCTAAATCACCATACAAATCTTTAAGTTTAGCTAGATTACTTGATGCAGAAGTCTTCTTACTTGCATCTCTCGGTGGACTAGAACGCGAGTCATATCGTGCGGTGTCAACTTGGCTCTGACTTCGGCTCCTGCTCCTACTTCGACTCCTACTACGATAGTGCCTACTACCATTGCCAATGTTGTCATAATCCCGGCTACTTTCTCTCTCTGCGTACTTAGACCTCTTATCATAGTCATAACTCCTCTCTCTGTCCCTCTCCCTCCTGGTTCTGTCCCTCTCATGATCTCTATCCCGGTCCCGATCTCGATCCCGATCCCTGTATCTTTCAGCATCTCGGTCCTTGCTCCTATTTCGGTCATAATATCTGTCCCTGTCACGTTCCCTGTCCCTTTCACGGTCTCGGTCTCTTTCCCGTTCCCTGGAGCGTGACCGCTCCCTGTCTCTATCCCTTTCAGGATATTCACGACTCTGACTGCGGCGATTACTGGGAGATCGTCTTATATCATCAGTGCCATTTTTTTCATGAGGAGGTACTGTACGACGAATGGGTGAAGAATCCCTTGTGGAGGCTCGATGTGGCGCACGCTGACCAAAAGAGACTGAAAGGGCAGCTTTCACAGAAGGTGGTCTACGGGCAGTGTCATCAGAACCATGGCGGGTGGTTTCTCCTGTTGTACCACAGTGTGTAGTAGGGAGCTTCAACTTTTCAAGATTTGCCACAACCTGACGCATTACAGGAACTGGAATGCGGGGAAAAAGTGTGTCGAAGTAGTACTGCACCAGCAGAACAAAATCATCAGTAAGTTTAGCAAAATTTAAATCACAATGAAAAAGGGTAAAAACAATTCAGCATTCAACTTTGTCAATGATGACCTTTAAGCATAAAAAATCAATAGAACACAAAAATGATAACTGCTAGAAGAGACCGTTACCACTTAACTCCAAGTAACGGTAAGCATTAATAAGTATACTAAATACTCATGAAAATTAGAAAGGATGGATAGAACAAGCATGTGTACATGATCTAATAACATAAACTAAAAAAGCATTTAAAATTCTCGCCAGAATCTAATCTTGCATATTAAAAGATAATCAATTTTTTCAGTTCTTGAACTTGCTCCTTATTTAAACCAATAATATCAAAAGTTTGAATCATTAGTAAGGGAAGTCCAGCAACTCCCCTATGCACAGAAAAAATGTTTTAGGGAAATATATGGCAAATGATTGTAGAAACAGTCTCCTATGGTCTTCCCATCTAATTTTAATCTAAAACAAATGAGCCCAATATACTACTTGATTCATGATTTTTAATAATAGAAACAGTCTCCTATGGTCTTTCCATCCAATTTTATCTCCTTTCTCAGTCTCCTATGGTCTTTCCTTCCAATTTTATCTCCTTTCTCAGTCTCCCATAGACTAACAACTTAATCACTCAAGTTCAGGTTCCCAATATTAGTGTCCCTAACGAGTTTTGACCAGGACAACACAAGTTCTATTCTAAAGATACATGATTAAATACTCAGTTTTTTTTTCCGGAAACCTCTGTCGTGATTTCACAAATAAAACAAGAAAAAGACGTGAAAGAAAAAAGAAAGATTCTTTTGAACTAGTATACTAATGAGAAATTACTGGTAAGTGTAAAAGGTTTATGTCCAAAGATCTTGAAAGACTGAAAGCACCTCATACTGTTACTCCAAAACATGTGAAGATGAGGAACATATCTGCATTTGCATTCTTGCGATGCACCTGCATTCTGGTAGAAGAGCTCTGAAGAGAGAATTCTCAATTTAACTAGTTAAATACTTGAGTCAAATGATTATTTTCTTAGCCTTGTAAGTCATCATTACATTTAAAAATCTCTATATCAAGGGGTCAGGGTATAGTATGAAATTATCATGTAAATGCATTTGATTGTCTACAATCAAAATTAGAGCATGAGCCCAAAGAACTTAAACAAGAAAGCATATTCTCATATAGATAACGAACCTGTCCAAGGAGCAAATCACGGATATATACACCCATCGTAGTCATCCGTCCATTAGATCCAGGAGAAAATTCCTGAAATACAGCACCATAATTTAATGACTAAGAGTGCCTTTAAATGTTATCCCAAGATAGATAAAAATGCAAGAAAATTAACACCCAAACAAATAACTATATTTCATAGAAAAGGACCATAGAGCCGCAAAGCATACAACAAATACCAAAACCTTGATATGTTTGACAAAAAAGCATACCATATATAGAAACATGTTTGACAAAATATACAACTTGCATTGCTCCATATCAAGCAAAGGTATAAACAATTGTTACACAAGTAGACAACAGAATGGTATTAAAGAAGTGTGACATCCAGGCATCACCACCATGATCAAAACCCCTCGTAGATAAAATCAGATTTGATACATGAGGAATGTGTAATTGCAACAAAAAGAAACAGTCATACAATTTGAATAAATATAGAAAAAAACAGAAATAAAATTACTCCCTTCCTCCATCTCTATTTATAATATTAATACCTACTTTTCATATTTTATTATCCTTAATATAAGACTCTTTTCAAATTTCACATGCATTAATACTTGTTATAAAAATACCCCAATGTAATTTACAATTGAAAAACATAAGTTTATTTTCTCCTTTTGATATCAATAATTATAAGGGTGACTATGAAAAGGTAACAAATATCTTTTACAAATTTATTGCTACAGTTACTTTACTTAATAACCATGAATTTTGTCTTATAATAAAGGACAGAGAGTACTAGAATAAAGTAAGAAGAAAAAAAGGGTAGCACAAGAGCTTAGTAAACGAAATCGGATGATAGACATTCAAAGTTATAGGTATCATAATCATAAGCTCGTACCTCATCATCTTTTGCATATGGCTCAAACCAGCTCCAAAGAGTCTTCGGATCAGCATAGTATCTCAGATAGAGGAATCCAACCTATAAACAATATGAGGAATTAATGCAGATCCCAAGATAAATGGATAGGGAGAAAACAATAAGAATAATGACGTGCATAAAAACTAAAAAAAGGTGGAACATTTGTGTAAGCAATAAAGCATAACCTCTTTATTTTGATGCCAATCAGATTGTAAACATTAGAATAATATAAAATATCTTATAATATCTTTTATATTAATTCTGAGTATCTCTTTGTATCTTATAATATTCTAACAGTAACTAAACCATCTTTTTTTGCCTCATTAAACAAAACTTGAGATCAAGATAAAGGAATACATGATGCATAGCATTTCCTAATTAGAAGTGAATGAAAAGAGATGGAATTTGATTATTACCAATGCATAAATTGACAACACCCAATACTTAAATTTATCAAATCATGGTATAAAAGAAATGAGTTTTTTACAATGAGTTAAATTAAAACTAAAATAAACAGCCAACTGAAGGCCTAAATATCTAGAAATATCATTACCAGAGACAAAAAAAAAAAACATGGATACTGTTGGACCAAGCACCAAACATAGTACACACATAGAGAGCAATTAAATAATCAACTTAGAATTCAGCCGAGCACTACAGACAACCCAAAACAAATGAAGATTGAATAAGAAATAGGAAGTGGGAAGGTTGAAGCAGCAGCCACACTCTTCAAAATAACAACCATGAGCCACGGCTGATAGCAGCCACATGGAAGTGTACAATCCTACTATATATCCCATGACTTTGACTCCCTGCCTTTGACAATTCAACAAAATCCACAACACACTAAGCTCAAACTCTGCTGTGATGTTTCAAGATATATTATACAGTAAAGAAGAAAATACTTTATTATTAAATCAAATTGTCTCTGGTGCACTAATCTTTTCTTGATATACAAGATGGCTAACAATTAAGGTAAGTGTAAATTCAGAAGTTCCTAACATGATACAAAATAGTGGGGGAAAAACTCATACCCAAATTAACAAAAATAACATGCACAAACCCACAAACAAACACACATCATAATAAATACACAATGACTTCATCACTTAAATGTATATAAAAAACAAACAACAGAAGTCACATATCATTGTTAGAAACCTCTACATACCGCTCTTATGTAAGGGGAATCCGGATGTTTCAGTAGGCCGTGCATCTGCTTGACAGTAAGCTTCATAGTGAAAAACTTAAAAAGAAGACAGAAAGCGGTTGAAGGACCGCGACAGTTCCCAGTCATCCATGGCTCCACATGATCAACTTGATTGTATATCTCATCAATAACTTCATGGTATGTTTTCAATCGATAAAGCTCTTTGAAGTAATCAGACGACATGATATTCATGCAAAGGACTTTCTCTAGCAAGGACTCAATTGGCCTGCCAGAAGTCTGTAACTCCATGATGAGTCACAATGTGTTATCACTCACTCCGAAAGCTACAATTTCAAATTTTTATATTTTATCACAACCTAGTTCCTGTAATAAACGAGAAAACAGAATAGTGAAAATTCAAAACAACAATTGTAACAAAGATAAAATCCCAAATAAGGGACAATTTGACAAAAAAGAGTTTTTTTCCCCTCTTTTGCTTAAATTTAAATTTCAGAACTTGTAGCAGTAATTTCATAAATAATTAGCTCAACAATAAATAAATGAAATCAGCTGAAACTATCCTTGGTATGTGAATAAAAAATAAATTTAAAAAAAATATATAGTAGAAAGATGCAAGAGTACGGAAGGGTGAAAAACCCTAAAAACAAAAGAAATCAATTCGAATTCGAACTCGAAATTGGGTACAAATAGAGATTTGGGAGATTCAGGAAAAGAAAGAGTTGGAAAATAGAGAAAGAAAACGCACCAATTAGAGGAAGAGGAGAAAAGAAGGTTGGAGCACGATGATGAACCCTAGCTAGCTTTTGGTTCTGAGGCTTAGGTTTGGTTTGGGTAACCAAAAGGAACGCAACGCGTATCAGAAGAGAGAATATTACAATTGCACGGTGCCTGAAACCCGATTGGGTCGTATCCGGTTTTTATTTACAATATTATTATTTTTTTAATTATATTCTTATGATCTTTTTTAATTAATGTATCTTTTTTATACCATTAAAGATAATTATGATTAAATATTATATATACTCAATTACGATTTTTGTAAAATTTAAATATTTTTTATATTTGATTAACACGATTAAAAATAATTTAAGACAACGAAATTTTTTCGGGATAAAATTGAAATTAATTAGTTATAGAAAGTAATATATGTTATGAATAATTGGATATTTGTTTTTTAATAATTTATTTTTTATTTATAACAAATTATAATTAAGTTTAAATAGTTTTTTTTGGTGTCCGTAAATTAGCGCGTTTTTTTTTTGTGTCTTTATTTATTTATTTTTGTCTGAGGCCTTATTTCTCAATTTTGTATTGGCTTTAGTCTCAAGAGTTAGAATTATGTTAAAAAATTGATTTAGCTAACGGCGCACGCGTGAAATTGATTTATATCTGTTTTATATTTAACAACATACATACATGAATGTACACTGGCTAATGTTCAAAGTCCTTAAATCATCTTCATCATTTTCGCCACTCATAGTTTCCCACATCTTGTTATTCACTTTGCTTTGTGCCAATGAATACATTGCTCTGTCTGTTATGTTTTTGCAGTAGTATAGCCCAAGTGACCTCAGATGAGGACACCTATTTGCCAATACTATTACACTTTCATCTGCAGCAACAACATCAGAGTCATGTTTGCACTGTTGTTAATCACAAAAACTAAGAACAACACAACTAACTAATTGGATAGAGTATATAGAAAATAGCGCGAACGAAGTACCTATTATAAGGACACAACCACATAAGTCAAGTGTTCTAAGAAATAGATAACTCATATGTAGAGGATTCTTGCCCAACACGTAATCAGCCTGGAAGTATTAAGAAACAGATTTTCAATTTAGAATAACTCAAAGGTGATATTCTGCGAAAATGAAAACATGGATGCATACCTGAGATCTGGCGAAGTTTCGAAGATCTTTTGGGGTGTAGGAATCTGAGTCGCATTTAATTTTGGCAGTTTGCGATGTAAGCATATAGTCGCTGTAAATAGAAGCTAAGAATGTCGATGCAATAGGCTGCTGCAGAGTTCCATTCGCTCACCCATATCTCACCATTTATATCAGAGAATAGCATTTCATGGGAAAAGAATGATTAGCAAATATTTTCTCCACTTTCCACGAAAGTTCAGGCTTAATATCATCACTTACAACCAAGTCCATGCCACCATATATTGTATTGCAATCAGCTAAGTTACATACCTGCTTGTTGTGGTTGTTGGAGAATTTGGAAGAAGGTCGCACATTACAGCCTCGACAGATTTCCGGTATTTTTGAAGGCCAGAACCATATGAACTTGAAACACCCTTTAAATTTAAGAAGCTTATTCTAGATAACAAAACCTGCATTAAGAAGAAGGTTTATTCTAACTAATAGTTTATGCTATGAAGAGTCCTTAACACCTTTCAATAACCACATCAAATCCAAGTCTAGATGCCACCATACAAACTCATTCGAGCATGTTATCACGATTTTCAAACTCTTGTTGTTATTAAATTCGTCGCGAATATCTACCGTCTTAACAAAAACCCCTTGAACATTCAGAGAAACATCGTTCGTAGAAATTACTTGTTTTGAGATATTATCGGGGTGCACCATATCTATTGGAAACAATACAAACACTAAAAAAAATTAGCATATTACTGCAGAAAATGATGGAAAATGAACACAAATATATTCTGGAAATGTATCTCCAGAAAAGTTCATGTTCAACATGTTTCAGAGATATATCTCTGGACACTGTGTAAGTTTTTTTTAGCAAGATTACATGATTAATGTGATCAATGTAGATGAAAATGAACAATCTTTACCTGAAATTAGATCTTCTTTTGCTCCATGAAATATGTTGAACCAAAAGGATAGAGATTTTGAGTGAAAAATAAGATTAAGAATGTATGTTTTTTGGGGGAGAGAGTTTGAGTTGAAAACAAGTATGGTAACAATGGTGACTGATCATACAACTTAAAAATATATCAGATACTTTCGGAGATATATCTTTGGAATGGAGATATATCTTTGGAATGGAGATATATCTTTGGAATAATCAGACATGCAAAGGTGACAGGAAAATTTAAATTGCCGCCCATATGTTCTGGAAATATATCTCTGGAACTTCCACCGAACTGATTAATTTTAATGTTTAGTTCAATTTGTTCTGGAGATATATCTCTGGAATAATTTTTTAGCAAATGCATGGGGCTCCATCCAGAATGGTCTTCCTTGAGTGTAAAAATGGTGCGTCCGGAGACTATGAACATTATAGGAAATTCGCATGGCGTCTAAGAAATCCATGCGGTGCCTTAAGAAATTCTCAAATGTTATCCCTTTTAAAGGTAGTATTCTTAGAAATTTGGATGTTTTAGGTTTGGCTAAATTTTTAGCTTGGAAGTGGTTTAATGTTTTTTTTAACATTGGGGGGTTTGTCTCTTGATTGGATTGGTGTAACAACCTCGTAGCTTGTTGGAATAAGAGCATAATTATTGGTCATGTTTGAAGGTTCCTATACAGTTTTTTAGACAATTCAATGGGTAATTGAATGGAAAAGTTGTTCTTTAGTTTGCGAACGTTATTACACTAAACCACGATTCTACAACTATTTATTGCTTTTTATTTTAAATCTTTAAAAAAAAAATACTTAAATTAATACAAATGAGTGATATATTGTGGAACCCATTTTAAATTTTTTGAAGAATTGTTTGGATATTTGAAAAATGTAGTTGTGTTGTTTAAATAATTGGAAAGAGTGAAATAATATAAAATATTAAATAAGACTCATTTAAAGAATCCAAATGGGTATTATGAATGTGGATGCTCGAAGTTGCGCTCTTTAGTTGGATTGGTGTTTATTGTGAGTTTGGTTTTATTAATGTCTGTTTGGTTACCAACAAGGGACTCTTCTTTCCTCGAAATCCCATGCCTCCTTCCTTCTTAGCTCTTTCCATTTTGTCTCACCTTAACAAGTGAACCTTCCTCTCTCCATTCCTCGAGCCCCACCAAAACTTTGCAACCCTTCAATTTCATTGCAGACTCCTTCAAGAAGCTTATGGCAGCTCATAATATAGATAGGGATTTTTCTTGAAGCTTCCTGAAGGAGTCTGCAATGAAATTGAGCCCTAGTAACTTTACATTTTCCATCTTATAAACCAATTTTTCTTGCCAAATGGTGATTGTGATTAGATCAATTACCTCTTATGGGAAATAACAAGTTCAAATTTTCAGATATGATACCAAATGCTTGGTTTTACAAGCTAAAAGATATGAGCAAATCATCAAGGAAAAGAAATGGTTCATCACGGTTTATGAAGAACAAAGCAATAACTTCTTCACCAACATCAACATCTCAAAGGTCACAACATTCAAGGTATTCTTCACATTATTTCTCAAATGAACCAATAAGGGTTGGTAAGTTATTTAACACTCCAAATCATACCAAAGATTTGAACTTTTCATTCAATGATTCACCAAGAATGTCTTCAAAGAGAAGGGTTGGAAGAAAAATTATTTACAAGTCTTCTCATTCTTCTCAACCATTTGATCAAGTTCAAGTTCAATTCCAATCACAAGAACATGATTTGTCTTCCATTGAAAATTCTTCTTGTGAGTCTTATCATAATCAATGTGTTTCTTCTGAATCTGAATTTGGTGATAGCTTTTCGATTCTGGATTTGCTTAATTGTAGTTGTAGAGTTAGCTCTTCAATTAATGATATCATCATAGACACGAGCAATGAATATTTTCAAGGAAATTCTATACACTTAGATGATTTTGAATCTTTTGATGCATTTTCACAACTTGGCTTAGCTCCAATATTAACAAAGCAAGTGAAGTTCGACGATGATAATGTCGTCGAGGATACTAAATCACGTAGTTCAACCGAATCAAACGATCGGAAAATCAATCATTCCTTCTCCTCTATCAAAGTTAATCAAATAAGGAGGGGGAAAATCAAATAGGTAAAAAAGCTTCTCCAAATTCTTCTCAAGGTATAAGGCTTAGAGAGAATTCTCCAAAACTTGTTAATAGAAAAATTGAATCTAGTGGAAGAAAGAGTGCTTCAAGGAATGAGGTAGGTTTGTAGATGGATTTGTTGTTGCTAAGTCATCAATTGATCCAATAAGTGATTTCAAGGAATCAATGGTGGAGATGATTGTTAAGAATAACATAAGAGGGTCAAAGGATTGAGAATAATAAAGTTATGAGCTACTATAAGCTTCCTGAAGGAGTCTGCAATGAAATTGAAGGATTGATTGCAAAGTTTTGGTGGGCTTCGAGGAATGGAGAGAGGAAGGTCCACTAGTTAAGGTGGGACAAATGGCAAGAGCTAAGAAGGAAGGAGGCATGGGATTTCGAGGGATTAGTGAATTTAACACCAGCTTATTAGGGAAGTAGTACTGGAGATTGCTTAGGAGAGAAGAGTCCATTGTTGGAAGAATTTTGAAGGGAAGATATTTTCTAAATTGTATCATTGATGACTGCCCTACAGGTTTCAATCCAAGCTATGCTTGGAGGAGCATTGTGAGTGCTAGACAGCTGGTTCATCTGGGATCAAGATGGAGGATAGAGAATGACTCGAAGGTGTTAGTGTTCAAGGATATGTGGATTCCTGGAAATCCTGGTTTCAAGCTTCTGCAACATAGCAATGTTTTAGATTATGATATGAAAGTTTGTGATTAATTGATGAGTTTTCTGGTCGACGGAAGGAGGATTTGATATTCTCTTCATTTGGACAGGCAGATGCATTACAGATAATTGGTATACTCTTATCCCAAAGAATTATTGATGATGAGTTCATTTGGCATTATGAAGTAAATGGTCATTATTCAGTGAAATCAACTTACCATTTGTGCATGAAGGATCGTTTTAGCTCAAGCCCAAGACCTTCTAATGACCCTCATCAGAAGTTGTGGAAAATGATTTGGAAGATTCCCCCTTCAGAACAAGGTCAGGAACTTCTTATGGAGATTGGCAAGGAACATTCTCCCTTCAAGAAGTAATCTCAAGAAGAAAGGTATCATTCTTGACTCATCTTGCCTCTTCTGCCATTCTAACCCTGAGACGGTGGACCACATATTTCTAGACTGTGTTTTTGCTAAGTAGACTTTCTTTTCATTTATCCTTAGCCTCAAAATCCCAACGAATGAGGGTATCTGTTGTTGGCTCGAGAAAGCTCTTGCTGGGAAAGACTCCATGATCTGCTGGTTAATTATCGCCACTCTTTATAAAATATGGTTGGCAAGAAACTCTCTCCTCTTCCAAGCGAGAGCCTCGTCTCCTCTACAAGTTACTACATAAGCTTTGGACTTGGTGCATAAATTTAACGTGTGGAATAAGAGTAAGGATCAAAAGATCTCTCCCAACAAAGATGATATAGGATCTAAGAGGAATCAATATATCCTCCAGGTAGATGCAGGGTTTTTTGAAGAGGGTGTTACAACCTTTGATTGTATTGTGAGGAACCAGGAAAATGAGATTATTCTCTCGGCTTGCAAGTCTGAAAAAAGATTGTTAGATCCAACTGCTGCAGAATGCTTAGCCACCAGGTGGGGTATACAACTAGCTCTAAACATCAATGTTAACAACCTCTTGCTTCAGTCTGATTTTTCGAATGTTGTGGATTGTATTAATTTATGTAAGGACTTTGTTGTCATAGAACCTGTTGCAGAGGGTTGTAGAGTCTTCCTTAGGAACTTTTCTTTTAGCTCTGTTATGTACATCAGTAGAAACAAAAACTTTCTTGCTCGTGGTCTTGTGAAAATTGAAAAAAATTTGGGTTTCAAGCTTTGATTAGGAAATGCCCCTTGATTGACCCTCAGGGTTCTGTTGTCCAATTTTCGGCTTGTTAATGAAAAGCTCTTTTCTTATAAAAAAAATGTTCATTTGGTTACCTGGATTGTAACCTCTTTTTAATTCCATGTTTTTTCTGACCTACAAAAGAAAAGAAAAAATTGTGAATTAATATTTTTTTATTTTTAACACATTTCACTTTATTCAAATTTTTTTGAAAATCTAAATGAATATCAATATACTCCTATAATTTTTTTAAAGAGTTTACTTGTATTATTTTTTAAAGAGTTTACTTGTATTATACTGATAATGTAAAAATGTTTTACAATGTCATTCAATAGAAATTTATCATTTTACCATGTCATATAATTAATTTAAAATTTTCAAAATGACTTGGCAGGACGCATAGTCGTCATTGGTTGACAGTGTAAAAAAATGTTACACGTGCATCACCCTTTTTTTCTTTTTTAAATCTTAAATAATTTTTTTTTACCAAAATAATCTCTTAAAATCCTAACACATTCAATCACAAATATTAAAAATTAAAAGGTGGAGCATTTTGGATAGTTAATTTCTAATTTTTTTAAAAGCTTAGTCTTTAAGTGCTTTTTGTAAAGAATAAGCTTTAACAATTTAGAGAGATAACATCAAAAGAATGACTACTATCAAGTGAAACAAAGTATAAACATTGAGAAAGCGTATTTTTTATATTCCAACAAACTCATCATTTAATAACATACGTTTGATTTGTTAATTAATTGTTGATGACACTTACTTTCAAAGAGGATTTGATTTAGAGGGGTGCATTTGATTTAACTTTTAAAAGATAACTTTTTGTAAGAAAAAATCTACTATACAAGATTTTAATTTTTATCTAATTTTACTTTTTAAAAATTATATTATAAGAATAGATAACTACTACAATATTTTTAACAAATCAAACCCTTTATATGAATAGATGACTACTACAATATATACAAGTTTTGATGTATGAAGAAACCAAATTCAGGATTTTACAAACCTGGAGAATCTCAATCAGAATTAGAGTCATATTCAGTTTCACTTCCAATGTCATATTCAGAATACTCACTTTCAGCTTCAGAATATTCACTTTCAGCATCAGAATATTCTTCTGAGTCGAACTCGAATCTCATACCAACATTCCTATTGCAGTGTTTATAGGCAACTTGAATAGCCCTGAACAACGTCAGACTCCGTTCAACCTCTCCATATTCTAATAGGCTATGTATCTTTTTCACGCCTTCAACCATGCGAGCTTTTCCATAACACCGTACCAGAAAAATCTGAGTAACGATGTCTGGTTCCACGTGCTTATCCCGCATTTTCATGTGTATATTCAACGCCTTACTAACATCTCCAGCTGAAGCATATACATAGATTGCCACATTATAGGCAGCAGCAGATTCAGGATTTTCAAGCTCAGATTCTATAAATGTTTGAACAGATTCAAATGCCAAAGCATGCATACCGAGTAAAGAGTACAAAGATGCGTAGGTTGCTTGTATGGCGTAAGGTTCCCCCTCCATGAAACATGACTGCAACTGTTCCACTGCTTCAATAGGAAATCGTCCCTTCTTTAGTATAGAGAATAACAGAAACAAAGTTCGCTTATTTGGTAAAATCTTCTTAGATAACATCTCATGTAGTAATTTGCCACACTCGTGAAATTGCTTATCAACGGCGTAGCAGGACATTACCTTGTTATATGAATTACAATCTCTCATTAAACCTGACATTTTCATCTCTTCTGCTATCTCGATTGCCTCCTTAAACATGCCAATTTCTTTATAAAGATACATTATTATTTCGTATGATGTACTATCAGCCCGACCCGCCTTTTTCAAATTTTCAAAAGTACGCCTGGCTTGGGATACCAAGCTGAGTTCGGCAAAGGTAGTAATCATACTATTACATGCAACCATATCGAGACCACCTTCCATGTTCTGCATCTGCTTGTAGATGGAATATACTCCTTCCAGGTCGCCAGCCTTACCGTAGGACTTTAGTAAGGTTGATAACACAATTAAATTTGCTGAAAATCCTGATTCTTTCATCAAGTCGAAGTAATGAAGCGCCTCATCAAGACTGCCATGTTCTGCAAATCCATTTATTAGAGAACCATACACAACCTCATTTGGTTTTACACCAGTTTTTAACATTTCCTCGTACACGTCAACTGCATCCGTAAGCTGACCAAGACAGGCATAGCTTCCAATAACAGCAGAAAAAGTTTGACAGTCTGGCTTAAACCCCATTTCCTGCATTTCAACTATAAGGTCCCTTGCCTGGTCCACTAACTTTGCACCAGATAACATTTGAATAAGAGAATTGTATGTACAATGATCAGCGCCAATTCCTTGATTTTTCATTTCTTCGAAAAGAAAAACAGCCTTGTCATAAAGTTCTGCTTTTCCGTATGCTTTGATCATGACATTAAACTCTAATATATCCCTCGCTTGTCGTGCCATGTGCCTTGGCCTATAAAACATAGTCTCCGCTTCAGCCCAAAACCCGTTCTCGCCAAAAGCATCAATAATTGCAGCACATATATCCGATGAGAGTTCCCTGTTCATTTGAAACTTCTGAAGCAAGTCATTTGCTTTATCAAGATCTCCTTCATGAATATACATCTTGACAATACCAGGAAGAGAATGTTCCTCAACAGATACAGAAGATTTCTCCATTTCATCAATCACACTTTCCACAGCCTGAACCATATTCTCTGCGCATAACCCACGAAGAAGAACTCTATAAGTTGCGGCATCCGGAAAGAGCCCAGCCTCTCTAAGCCTTCTATAATAAGAAAGAGCAGCATCCATATTCCCCGCATTAACATACAAAGTCACGAAAATGTTGTAAGTTACCGTATCAGGGGATACACCCTTCTCATCCATTTTAACAAGCAACGCTTCGGCTTCAACCAAATTGCCATGACTTCCACTAATAAATATCATAGTATTAAAAGTGTCAGTCTTCATTGCCACTCCAGATTTCATCATATCCGCAAAGACATCAGCAGCGTCTTTTAGCCGTCCGGCCTTGGCATAAAAATCTATAAGGGCATTGTAAGTGGTAGAGAGCCGAGGTTTCTGAGGAGTGTTCTGCATATCCAACGACGGCGTAGAATTAGAATCACGAATTCCCCCGCCAGTCTTAAAAAGCTCCGTCAAAAGAAACTGCTTGAAACTAAGAGGCAACGATGATCTCGAACCATTGGTATTCAAAGTCGAATAATCAAAATCAAGATCATCCAAGTCAACCTTCCCATCACGCCAATTCTTGTAAAACCTATCAGCCCTATTGAACTCACCAACATCCTTCAAAACCGTAACAACGGTACCCATGGTAACCTCGTTAGGAAAAAGGCCTCTCATTCTCATATGCTTAATCCACAAAAGAGCCTCTTTGGCAAGACCTGCTTTGGCATAACAATCAACAAGCATGCCGTAAGTATTATCAGTAGGCAAAACATTGTTGTTTGCCATGTCTATCCAACAAAGCCTCAATTGGTCCCACTGTTGAGCTCTAATAAGAGCCCTAAGCACAACATTATAATGAATTACATTATGAACATAATCTTCCTGAGATTTAAACCACTTAAATACCCTGACAAGACGTTCCCAATTTTTTCTCTGTTGACGAAGAATAACAGTGATGCCCCTTGGACCAAGATTCTCATGAAAGGAATCAAGGACACCTTCAACATCATCAGACAATTTCAAAGTCTTCAAAAATGAATTAAAATCACTATCATAACCATTGTTTGTAAAAGAAGAAACATTTGTTGGTAAAGGTGGAGTATTTGAACGGAAACAAGTAAGAGGGGGACAAACCCATCTTGTATTAAGCGGTGGAAAGTGACCCAATAGAGGTTTTGTGACGGTGTTGGCAACAAATTTTGAAGAAGAAGAAGAAAGAGAAGAAGAACTTACAGGGAATTTATCTGCACATGACATGTTTGATTGTATGTTGACGTGAAATTGCGGCGTTGTTGAGAAATGAAGCGGCTGGTGAAGAAGAGAAGAGAAACTGTAAGAAGAAGAAGGGTTTAAGGGAAACATGCGTGGAATGAATGGTAGCACCAATTTTAGTGTTAATTACGTATTAATGTTTTTAGTGTCAACGATATTTCATTTTAGTGTCAACGATATTTCATTATAGTCCCTCGACAATTTTATCGCTAATTACAAGTATTTTTAAGATTTGCATGTTTTTTTTCATGGTCTAATCTAACGGTTCATAATTTATAATAAATAATTAAATAAAAAAGGTTATTTAATAGAAAAGAGAAATGGATAAGTAATTTGTCTTTGTTTAAATGATTTTTTTTATTTAATTATTTATTATAAATTCTGAACCGTTAAATTAAAAACATGAGAGATGGCATGATATATAAAAAAAAAGATTTAAATCCGTATTTTTAATTATGTTTTATATACTTGTAATTATTATTTTTGAGGAAGTATATAGATGAAATTATAGCGCTTTAATATTTTGGTAAAATTACACCAATCAATAATATTTTATTGAATACAATTTTTTAAATTTTGCAGTTGAATTTTAAAAAAAAAATCTTCAAATAACTAATTTTTTCAAATAAATATTCAAACTAATCAATGAATGCTTTTGATGTGGTGGTGGTGATAGTGCTTTGGGGTGATCAATGAAGACACATGAAATAAATTAGTATTTTGACAATCAAGTTATGAATGGGGTGAAATTTTATAAATGTGTTTGGTTTTAAGGTGGGAGGAATTAATTTTAATAGAATTGAGTTTGATATAATTGATTTTGGTTAAACGTGAGTTAAATGTAAATTGATTTATATTTGGATAAATTAATGTAAAAGTGATTTTTAATATTATTTGTTGTTGGGCTAGTTTGAATTAGAGCCGGCAAAACGGGCTGGAACAACTGAGCTGACTCGAAAGTTTGCCAAAAAATTCGAGCTTGAACAAAAAAAATAAGACCCTTTTATTATCCGAGCTTTTAAGCCCGAACCATTAAAAGCCTGATGTTTAATCGGGATAGCCCGACCGGGTAGCCCGCTTAATTTTTTTTAATGAATTTTAGACCTTATTGTTAATTTAATTTATAAAACTTAATGTTATTATTGAGAATTTTACTTTGTTTTGAATCTGTGTTCAAATGAAAAAGATAAACAATGTACCAAGGGAAGTTATAAGTTGTATTTTGTTATGTACAACATTATTATCATTTTCTAAATGAAATGAAATGTCATACTGATGCATTTTCTATGTGAAATGTCATAATGTTATAATTTGACGCTATGATAAAATTAGAGTATGGTGTGTACAATATACTAATAGTATTATATTATTTTTTAAATAAAACACTCACTTTTTAAATATATATGTAAATTACAAATTGATTAAATATAAGAAATATATATATAAATTACAAATTGATAATACAATTTAAAATGTATTATAGTATTAAAGTAAATCACAAACTAACTATTTAGCATATACTCTATAATTTGATTACGAATTGAGTCTCGAGCATGATCCATCTCCGATAAAAAAATCTACACTGAAACTCTATGATGGATCCAAGTTAGTTGATCTATGATAATCATCATGGTTAATGACCATGTTTTCATCTTCATAAATATTAAAATCATTATTCATTTGAGCATTCCTTTTGATAAAAATATGTATTGTCATTGTTGCGTCAACAATTTCAACTTGTGTTTCATATTTAAATTTAGGCATGCGACGCAAGATGGCACATTTGTTCTTCCATACTCCAAAAGTTTTTTCTATTATGCACCTTAAACTTCAGTAATAATAATTAATACTTTGTTATGATTTTCAAATTCACTTGAACGTCTAAAATCTGAAAGGTGGTAACGTTCACATCTATAGGGACCAATGTATCCTTTTGGTGTTAGATAGCCAAAATCTACCAAATAATACTTACCTAAAAATAAAGTAATTGTTATAATTTAAAGTGAAATATTATAAACATAAAGAATTTATATCAACAAATAAGAAAATACATGAAGGTGGATGTCAAAAATGTAGGTTCGTATTTGTAAGGGCCTGATAAAAAACACGAGCATTATGTGCAGTGCCTTCCCAACCAGCTAATACACAAGTAAAACACATATTCCAATCACATATAACCATTATATTTTGCGTCGGATATCATTTTCTTCCAATAAATCTGGTTTGCTCACTGGCACTCACTACACATGACACATGTGTACCATCAATTGCTTCTATAGCATTCTTAAAAAATGGCCCATAACTTTGGTCATTTTTTATTTTTGCATGACATTCAAGAAACATAGGATCTTCAGGTTTAACATATTTGAAACATAGGATATTCAAGTTTAACATATTTGAAAGACAACTTAAGACAAACATGAAGTACCCGATGAAAATATCTACTTACAGTCTGACCTGAGTGTTGAAACCTTTCTTGAATCATTCTATTACCTACTCTGTGGCCTGCAACGATTAAAAAAATCACAACCATTTCTTCAACCCCCATAATTCTAGATGACTTTAATCCACATTCAATTAATTCAGTGCAGAATTTATGAAAAATATATTTTTCCATTCGAAACATCTCATAACAACGTGTGGGATTCCCTTGTAATATTTCTTGAGCCCATGCATGATCTTGTGTATTATATTCTAAATGTTCATTCCAACCATCCATTTTTATAAATGACAACCTATTATAAGAGAGCAAGTCGTTAGAGTCAAAGCTAATGTAACTAGGACAACCTGTTAGAATCAAAGCTAATGTAACTAGGACAACATGTTAGAATCAGATGTTATTGCAGCCATATAACATAATTACATATACATAAAACCATATAACAAAACTACTAAACATAAGATACCTTTATAACAAAACTACATAAATATAAGATACCTTTATTCAAATTTGAAAGCCATAGTACGAAAACATGAACTCTAAATGACATCATTAAAGCAATATTTAATACATAAGCAAGATTAGTCACATCTTCATAAATGGCATAGGGTTGTTTGATGCAAACTTAAGCCAATTCAACCTCATATCCTCAAAACCTCGCAACGATACAAACATTTCACTTGTTGGCTTAAACATCATTAGTTGACAACGTCTTATGAAGTATTCAAATTAATATTTGCAATTTCGAATGTTGCTCCAACATTTGCATATTCACTATCACCAGAACCTTCTTCCATATCCAAGCTAACATCTTTATTACCTGAATGAACCTTAGGTAATATCCCACACGATGGTGTCCAAGCGTACTCTTCATTAGCCACTACATCCTTGAAAATTATTGTGGGTTGGCGAGCAAACAGAAGTCCTTTGTCTCTAAATTTTCCATATAGAGGGTTTTCTTGCATGTTCATAACCCATCAGCATAAAACACAAGGCAAAAATAAACTTAAAAGTATTACTAAACAACATATTTATGATTTTCTTACCAATTGTTTCCTCTCCCACAACTCATCAGATGCATCAAAAGTATTTTTCTCATGATTCCACCATAATCCGGTAACTTTTCCAAATAAATTATACCATACTCTCCAATCTTTCCTCAAACTATCATACATATTCTTTAATTTTTCCTTGTCATAACTTCTTTCAGATAATCCATTAAATTGGGAAACAATACATTGCCATCCTTTTTTCGCAAAACTAGTACCAATATTGTTTCGGATTGACCCGATAGCTAGGCATGGCCCAATTCATTTATGCGCCCAGAACGAACCAATAGCCTTAGCCCTTCCAGTTAAGGGCAAAGTGAAGCATTATCTCATATTCCCCTATACTAAGGAAGACTGGCCAGCTGACCCTCAGGATCAGCTGCCCGTCACGCATAGTTTCACCATTCAAAAACAGTCACAACGCTTGTGCCCACGACAACGGCTAGTTCCGAGCACCTCTGCCTGTCCCAACGGCTAGTTTCTGGCAGTTATCTATTCTTTAGGAGCGAATATTTCGCCCAGAAAATAGGGAGAAATGGCCAAGCGCTGGGGGCATTATAAAAACCCTCTCACTTGAGAGGTTCAGATACTCTAAATCATTCTAAGTCACCCTAAAACATGCACTATTTGTACTTTCCTTCTCTTATCCTGATTCTTACTTTAGCATCGCAGTGCTTTGCAGGTACACCCCATTCCTCGTCTTTGAAACCCAACATTGCAAACGAAGTCTCTGTCCCACTTCAGGTTCTGATCAGCCATCAAAATCAGTGGCACCAACTTTGTTCTCCCCATATTTCTTTTCTCGTAAATTCAAGACCAAAGCAGTTC